GTTTGTTTTGGGGGATTTTTTAAAAATGTTTGGGGGCCTTTTTGACTGCTCTGAATGATTTTTAAATTTTTTAATAATTTTTTCATGTTTTGAGGGATTTTTGTACTTTTTTTTTTTTTAATGCTTTGAGGGATTTTTAAAATGTTTTGACTGATTTTTAAAAATTTTTTAAGCTTTGAGGGACTCTTAAAATTTTGGGATTTTTTTTAATGTTTTGGGGGATTTTTTAATATTTTGAGGGATTTTAAGATTTTTTTTCTCTTTTTGCTGTTTTGCTGTCTTAAATTTTAATTTTTTTCTTTTTTTGAGGGATTTTGTATGTTTTGGGGTATTTTTTAATGTTTTAAGGAATTTTTAAAATGTTTTGACTGATTTTTATTTTTTTTTATTTTTTATGTCTTGAGGGTGTTTTATTTTTAATGCTTTGAGGGACTTTTCAATTTGGGGATATTTTTTAATGTTTTGAAGGACTTTATGTTTTGGGGTTTTTTTTTTACCTTTTGGGGAAATTTTATTTTTTTTTTCATTTTTTGGATGTTTTTAATATTTTTTTTTTCAGGGATTATTTAAGTTTTTGGGGTATTTCTTTCAATGTTTCAAGGGATTTTTTTTGAACGTTTTGACCGATTTTTTTTTTTTTTTTTTTTAACACTTCTCATTTTCTCGTGGGTTTTGAGGGTTTTTAAATATTTTACTGTCTTGAGAGATTTTTTTATGTTTTGGAGTATTTTTTAAATGTTTTGACGGATTTTGATGGCTTCTTTGGATTTTTTTAATGTTTTGAATGACTTCTTTATTGCTTTGAGTGATTTTTAAGTTTTTTATTATTTTTTCATGTTTTGAGGGATTTTTTATGTTTTCATATTTCTTTAATGTTTTGAGGGATTTTTAAAATGTTTTGACTGATTTTTATTTTTTTTTTAATATTTTGAGGGACTAAGTTTTGGATTTTTTTTATGTTTTGGGGGTTTTATTACCATTTTGGGGGATTTTTTTTAACACATTGGGGGATTTCTTAAAACTTTTTTCATTTTTTGATGTTTTGATGCTTCTAATTTTTTTATTCATTTTTTTGAGGGACTAATTATGTTTCAAGGGATTTTTTAAGATGTTTTGACCGATTTATTTTTTTAACGCTTTGTATTTTTATTTTTTTTTTAGGTTTTAAGGGTTTTTAAATTTTTTAATGTTTTGAAGGATTTTTTTTTAAGTTTTGGGGTATTTTTTTAACATTTTGAGGGATTTGAATGGGTTTTTGGGGTTCTTTTCACGTTTTGAAGGATTCTTTTCACGTTTTGAGTAATTTTTTTTTATAACATTTTTATAGATTTTTTGACGCTTTAGGTGATTTTTTTTTTCCAACATTTTTATGGATTTTTTGACATTTTGAGGGTTTTTTTAACGCTTTAGGTGACTTTTTTTTTTTTTCTTACGTTTTAGGGTATTTTTATGGTTTCGGGGTTGGTTTTTATTGTTTTATTTTTGGGGTGGGGGGGTTTTGGGGTTGGTTTTTGGGGTTTCTTTTGGCGGGATGGGATTTTTTTGGCGGGGTGTCACCGCAATCCCGCTCCAGGGGTGGGGTGTGAAGGGGGGAAACCGAGGCAGCCCCCGGGGGGGACCCCCCCAGAGCAGGGTGGGGGGCTCACAGTGTGTCCCCCCCTCCCCATCCCGCTCTGCAGATGATCTCCATGGTGATGGTGGCGGTGGGGGTCTACGCCCGGCTGCTGAAGCACGCAGGTGAGGTTTTTTGGGGGGGGGACAGGGGGATGACACCCCCCGAGGCTGGGGGAAGGGGGTGTCCGTGGGGTGGGGGACCCCCATGGTGACGGCTGGCTGCGGCAGAGGCGGCGCTGGGCTGCCTGGCGGTGGACCCCGCCATCCTGCTGGTGGTGGTCGGCGTCCTCACCTTCCTCATCACCTTCTGCGGCTGCGTGGGCTCCTTGCGGGAGAACATCTGTCTGCTGCAGACGGTGAGGACACGGGGACGGGGGGGGGACGGGGGGGGACTCCTGTGGACCCCCCCACGTCATCACACTCCTCTCCTCTGCAGTTCTCCGTCTGCCTGACCATCGTCTTCCTCCTCCAGCTGGCCGCCGGCGTGCTGGGCTTCGTCTTCTCCGATAAGGTTGGGGGGTGTTCTCCACAGCGGCGTTGGGGGGCGAGGAGGGTCTTGATGACCCCCAGCCTGTCCCACTGGGTGACAACCTTGCTGATGTCACCCCCCTATCATGGCATGTCCACCCCACAGGCACGCGGGAAGGTCAGCGAGATCATCAACGGTGCCATCGTGCATTACCGGGATGACCTAGACCTGCAGAACCTCATCGACTTCGGGCAGAAGGAGGTGGGTGGTGGGGGGCACCAGGATGTCCCTCCAAGGGACAAGGACATGGCCCCACTTGTGGGTTGGGTTTCAGGATCTTGGATCTTGCCGTAAGTCCATGGTCTCCTCCAGGCCAGGGATGTTGGGTGCCTCTTCCTGGTCAAGAAGGTTGGGTGGCCCCTCCTGGTCGAGGACTTTGGGTGGCCCCTCCTGGTCCTGAAGGTTGGGTGACCTTTCTTAGTCAAGAAGTTTGGGTGCTTCCTCCTGGTCGAGGACGTTGGGCACCTCTTCCTGGTCAAGAAGGTTGGGTGGCCCCTCCTGGTCGAGGACTTTGGGTGGCCCCTCCTGGTCCTGAAGGTTGGGTGACCTTTCTTAGTCAAGAAGTTTGGGTGCTTCCTCCTGGTCGAGGACGTTGGGCACCTCTTCCTGGTCGAGGACGTTGGGCGCCTCTTCCTGGTCGAGGACGTTGGGTGCCTCCTCCTGGTCGAGGACGTTGGGTGCCTCCTCCTGGTCGAGGACGTTGGGTGCCTCCTCCTGGTCGAGGACGTTGGGTGCCTCCTCCTGGTCGAGGATGTTGGGTGGCCCTTCCTGGTCAAGAAGGTTGGGTGGCCCTTCCTGGTCAAGAAGGTTGGGTGGCCCTTCCTGGTCAAGAAGGTTGCGTGCCTCCTCCTGGTTGAGGATGTTGGGTGCCTCCTCCTGGTCCTGAAGGTTGGGTGGCCCTTTCTCGTTGAGAAGTTTGGGTGCCACCTCCTTGTTGAGGACATCGGGTGCCCCCCTCTGGTTGAGGACGTTGGGTACCTCTTCCTGGTCCTGAAGTTTGGGTGGCCCCCCCGGTCAAGAAGGTTGTGTGGCTCTGCCTGGTCGAGAACGTTGGGTGCCTCCTCCTGGTCCTGAAGGTTGGGTGGCCCTTCCTGGTCAAGAAGGTTGCGTGCCTCCTCCTGGTTGAGGATGTTGGGTGCCTCCTCCTGGTCCTGAAGGTTGGGTGGCCCTTTCTCGTTGAGAAGTTTGGGTGCCACCTCCTTGTTGAGGACATCGGGTGCCCCCCTCTGGTTGAGGACGTTGGGTACCTCTTCCTGGTCCTGAAGTTTGGGTGGCCCCCCCGGTCAAGAAGGTTGTGTGGCTCTGCCTGGTCAAGAACGTTGGGTGCTTTCTTCTGGTCGAGAACGTTGGGTGCCTCCTCCACAAGGATTTGATGTTCATGGTGAAGAGCTGGATGAAAAGGGGGGCAGGAAGAAACACCCCTCAGTGTCTCTGTTGGAGCCTGTGTTTATGTAGGGCCTACTAAAGTGCTGGGACAGGATCTCTGGTTGGGGGTGGCCCCCCTTTCACTGAGCACCCCGTGTCCTCTCCCACAGTTCAGCTGCTGCGGTGGTGTCTCCTACAAGGACTGGTCCCAGAACATGTACTTCAACTGCACGGCCACCAACCCCAGCCGAGAGCGGTGCTCAGTCCCCTTCTCCTGCTGCCTGCGGGACACCCAGGAGGTGAGGACAGTGTCCTGTGGGGCAGGGGGGGACACCAGGTGCCCCCCTCTGGTTGAGGACGTTGGGTACCTCTTCCTGGTCCTGAAGTTTGGGTGGCCCCCCCGGTCAAGAAGGTTGTGTGGCTCTGCCTGGTCAAGAACGTTGGGTGCTTTCTTCTGGTCGAGAACGTTGGGTGCCTCCTCCACAAGGATTTGATGTTCATGGTGAAGAGCTGGATGAAAAGGGGGGCAGGAAGAAACACCCCTCAGTGTCTCTGTTGGAGCCTGTGTTTATGTAGGGCCTACTAAAGTGCTGGGACAGGATCTCTGGTTGGGGGTGGCCCCCCTTTCACTGAGCACCCCGTGTCCTCTCCCACAGTTCAGCTGCTGCGGTGGTGTCTCCTACAAGGACTGGTCCCAGAACATGTACTTCAACTGCACGGCCACCAACCCCAGCCGGGAGCGGTGCTCCGTCCCCTTCTCCTGCTGCCTGCGGGACACCCAGGAGGTGAGGACAGTGTCCTGTGGTGGGGCAGGGGGACACCAGATTCTGGTCGAGAACGTTGGGTGCCTCCTCCACAAGGATTTGATGTTCATGGTGAAGAGCTGGATGAAAAGGGGGGCAGGAAGAAACACCCCTCAGTGTCTCTGTTGGAGCCTGTGTTTATGTAGGGCCTACTAAAGTGCTGGGACAGGATCTCTGGTTGGGGGTGGCCCCCCTTTCACTGAGCACCCCGTGTCCTCTCCCACAGTTCAGCTGCTGCGGTGGTGTCTCCTACAAGGACTGGTCCCAGAACATGTACTTCAACTGCACGGCCACCAACCCCAGCCGGGAGCGGTGCTCCGTCCCCTTCTCCTGCTGCCTGCGGGACACCCAGGAGGTGAGGACAGTGTCCTGTGGTGGGGCAGGGGGACACCAGACATCCTGGGGGGACCCTGCCACCCCCTGGTGTCACCCCTCTTCAGGTCATTTAGGGAGAGCCCAGCGGTGGAGGACACCAAAGGGGACACCCTGAGTGGTGCAGAGGTCCCAGTTGCCCCCCAAGAGGCAGGGTCCCCAATGTGTTTTGTCCCCAACCCCTCTGTGACCTGTCTCCTCACCATCTCCTCCCCCCAGGCTGTCATCAACACCATGTGCGGGCAGGGCATGCAGGCCATGGGCTACCTGGAGGCCAGCGCCTTCATCTACACCAACGGCTGCATCGACACCCTGGTCAACTGGATCCACAGCAACCTCTTCCTGCTGGGGGGCATCGCCCTGGGGTTGGCCGTCCCCCAGGTACCGGGGCTGTCCCCACCCTTGGGGACAGGTTAGGGGTGGGGGGAGAAGGGACCTTCCCACAGCTCCACCTCGTTTGGGAGTTGCCTTAACGATGCATGTCTTAATTGCAACCCTTGGGGGAGTCAGGGTAGGGTTTGGGGTGGGGGGGGAACTGTGGAGATGTTGGGCATGTCCTCACCTGGGAGCTGTGAACTGCTTGTAGGATGGTGGGGTGATGCTGCTTGGTGTCCCTCATCTTCGTCTTCTTCCCCTCATCATCTTCGTCTTCTTCCCCTCATCATCTTCGTCTTCTTCCCCTCATCATCTTCGTCTTCTTCCCCTCATCATCTTCGTCTTCTTCCCCTCCTGCAGCTGGTGGGCATCCTGCTGGCTCAGATCCTCATCAACCAGATCAGAGACCAGATCAAGGGTGGGGGGGGAACTGTGGAGATGTTGGGCATGTCCTCACCTGGGAGCTGTGAACTGCTTGTAGGATGGTGGGGTGATGCTGCTTGGTGTCCCTCATCTTCGTCTTCTTCCCCTCCTGCAGCTGGTGGGCATCCTGCTGGCTCAGATCCTCATCAACCAGATCAGAGACCAGATCAAGCTCCAGCTCTACAACCAGCAGCACCGGGCGGACCCCTGGTACTGAGCCCCACCTCGCGGTGGTACCGGCGTCCGTCCCTCCGTCTGTCCCTACGGCGCAGTGGTGGCTCGGGGGACCTCGATGGTGACTTTCCAAACCCTGGATCCATAGGAAGAGCCCAAGGGGCTGTTGCCGGAGAAGAGGGAGGTTGGAGAGGGCTGTGGACGCCTCGTGGTGGCCCCGTGAGGGACACGTGTGGGGACTCTGTGCCTTGGGCAGCCGGTGCGAGAGCCAGGAACGTGCCGCGCTGCTGCGCCCCTATTTGGGGGGACTCAACCAGCCCCCCTGAACTGCTGTCTGTCCGTCCATCCGTCCGTCCTGAGAGCCAGTGATGCATTGTGCACAAAGCAGGTTTGCACTCAGATGTCTCCTCTTGTGCTGGAGATCTGTCTGTCCGTCCACGCACCGAGCTGCCTTCGCCCTGGGGCAAGGCAGGCCCCAGGATTTGGGGGGGGGGTTTACCCCCACCATGGCCGGGTGCCACCAACCCCGTCGACCTCCCGTTGGGGACAGCTGAGGGGTCCACTCGCCAGCTGGAGAGGAGGAACCATCACCCACGTGGCCACTCTGGAAGGAGATGAGCCTGGAGGATGTCTTGACCCATGGGGGGGCTTCATTAGGTGGGGGTCTCTGCCCCGGGGAGGGGGGGCTCGGACCCCTCTGCGCTGAGGAGGGGTCGGCGCAGTCCTGTGTCTCCTCTCGAGGGGTCGGCGTCAGGCTGTGACATTTCCTTTTGCTTTCATGGAGAATAAAGAGACGAGGTGAGACCCCACCATCTCTGCTGGGTGGTGGGGGGCTGCTCGATTAGCTGG